GTGGCTATCACCAGCAAGAACAGAAGCCACTGGTGCCCTTGCCTGACCTCAGCTTCCTGAGAGCCTGTCCTGCCTAGCCTGTGGATCCTAGAATGTTGTTCTCCTGAGTCTCTGTAGTATCCCAGGATGGGGCCAGAGCGCGAGAGCCTGGCCTATAGGTGAAGTAGGGCATTTGGCCTCCACCCTGTGTCTCAGAGTGACGCCAGTGAGCCTGCCACCTGCTCCTTAGGGCTCAGATTGCCAGCTGGTGATATCTTTATATGGTATAGACTTCTGCAGCCCTAAGTGCCCCAGAGAACCTTCTAGAGTCTTTGTGTGTGTGTATGTGTGTAAGAGAAAGAGAGACAGAAACAGGGACACAGAGAGATGAAGACAGAGAGAGACAGAGCTGCTGGGAGACACTCAGAAACTGTGAGGGTGAATGGAGCTTCAGAGAGGCTCAATGAGGACCCCCACCGCACCCGGCACCCTGAGAATCTCTCGTTTGGTTTGGTTGGGAGTGAATAAGCCAAGCATCCCATATCCTTTAGTTAATGGCCCACTGGGGGCCAGGAGCTGGTTGCTCTGGGAACACAGGGTTGAGTTGCCCTGTGTTGCCTTTTGCAGACAGGGTGATAAAGGGTAAAATGGCCTGTCTGTGTGCCTGTGCAATGTCCTGTATGTGATATGCTGACATGTTCCATGAATGCCAAGGAGGAAGCTGCTCCTCAGTGTTAGGGCCCAGGTGGATGAGTTCCCTAGGTCAGGAGCTGTCTTTGCTGCTGCTGGGGTCCTGACCTGGGCAGGCATGAATGTTTGACTGTGTCCCTAGTGTCTGAAACCACAGGCCTTGACCCCACACCACATCCTTCTGAGTCCAGATTCTGGAGCTCACTTGCACATGCTCCTTAGGCCACGAGAATTCTTTGTGTTCCTGATGCATAGTTGCTGAAAGATTAATAAATCATTTCTGTACCTTTAGCAAACTTCCTGTGTTGCCCTTAAAAAGGGATCAGCCACCTACCGGGACCACAAAGTTAAGGTAACCCCGCTAGGTAACCCTGCTAGGCCCGTTGCGGGGCAGACCGACAGAGACAGAGAGAGTGAGGGCGAGGGCGAGGTAAGCACCCCCGGGGAACCCTGGGGGTCCCTGGCTCAATTCCCTCCCCACCTGAGGCTCTTCCGAGGATCAGATCTTTGCATTTGCTGTTGTTTCCTTTGGCTTGTGAGGCTGAAATCGGAGCCCAGAAAGCTGCTGTCCTAATCCTCATGGTCTTCCTGGAGCTGACTCTCTATACAGGGACTGGTGCTTGGCGGCTGGCAGGGATGCCTGTGCCCTGCTGAAGGTGGCTGGAGCTGGTGACGGGTGATGGGCAGGGCTCTGGCTGGGAGTGGGTGGTTCAGTTGCTCAGCATTCCTCCCTGACAGCCCTGGCTGGGCCACATCTGGCCTTGCCCAGCAGTTATAAGTGTCAGATCGGGGCTTCCTCTAAGGAACAACCACATCAGGCTCAGCAGCAGCAGCTATAGCCTAGCTGGGGCTTTAGGAGCCCTGGCAGGTACAGCTAGTGGATGGACGGGCTAGACTTTGGGGGCGGCACCTTCTGATGGGGTAGGCTTCTTGGCTGTTCGGTGTCAGACAAGAGCCTTCAGATGCCAGTGACAGTCTTGAGGTCAAGAGCTGCCTAGCTTCCCACCCCCTCCCCCACACCCCTGTCTGAGGTGGCCTCTCGCATGTGCCGGTGGCTGCCCCTGGAGCTTCCCCAGTGCCAGGTGCCTGCATGCTGTGGTACAGGCTCAGTCCCCAGGCTCTTCCAATCATCTCTGCTTCTCCTGGCTCCTGGGCCTTCCGGTCTCAGGGCTTGCTCTGTATACAGCGAGCCCTTTCTTGGCCTGTATCAGGGGAGCATCCAGAGGCTCATGTAGTTCTCCCATCTCTGCAGGGACCTCTGCTGCGCTGGCTCAAGGTGAACTTCAGCGAGGCCTTTATTGCCTGGATCCACATAAAGGCCCTGAGAGTATTTGTGGAGTCTGTGCTCAGGTGCGTGGTGGGGATGCTGAGATGGACAGCGCTGAGTGACAGGCCCTGGAGAAGAAGCGTGGGTGCTCCGCTCCCACCTCTCTCTTCTTACCCTCTTAGCAATCTTCTCTATTCTGTCAAAGGAACCCCAGTTGGCCATGTGTGCCCTGCTCTCCAGGACTCAAGTCTTTCCTACTGGCCTCATTCCTGTGCTCTGCCTGCCTCACTCACCTGTACACACCATATAGACACTCTGTGCTATTTCAGGCCCCCAGTGGTTCCTGGAAGTCATCCTTTGTCTATTTCTCCACATTTCAAGGATAGTCCTCAAGATAGCTCCTCACTAAAACAGGAAAGCTACCCTTGCAAAAATTTTCTCTTATCTTCTATCTTTTAAAAATGAAAGAAAGATTGAGTCACTGTGGGAAATTTGGAAACCATAGGTAAGCACAGGTGTGAATCCAAATCACCTGTCAGGGATGGGGTGTAGTTCAGTGATGCATGCATAGCCTTGCCTGCCTGAAGCCCACATTTCAGTCCCCAGCATCACAGAACAAACCAGAGCGTATATGTTTTTAAGAGCAAACACATCCTGGTGTGTGCTGATTTGGTTTTTATGGTTCTGTGTCTCCCCCTCCCCCAAGCCCAAATACTTCATGTTCAGATATGTATCATTCTCAATGTTTTGGTAGAAAGGGAATCAGACAGCAAGTGGTTTTTGGAGGGCAGTGACTGAAGAATGAATGACACAGGACACTGGGTGTGCAGATTTGGCATTCAAGGGACATTTGGCTCTCAAGGGCCAGTTCATTCATGTTAAACCACAGTGTAAGTGGGATGGGGCAGTCATGGGAAGCCCAGAATTAGAAAGACCCCATCTAGTAGCTGACAGAGGAGGCAGCTTCTCTACTGAGAAGCTGGGGAGGAAGAGTAGTGGGGAGAAATGGCCAACGCTGCTGCAGTCACCCTGGCAGGATGATGTTCATCTAGGTTGTCACGGGAGGGTTAGCAGGTTGGTTGTCACTGACAGAAAAGCCAAGAGATCTGTAGGACTTAGGAGGATGTGGTGGTCCTGAAGCCAGATGTGGCTCGGCCTGTAACCGGCCGAGGCAGGAGGATCATTTAGAGTTTCTGGCCAGCTTGGGCTAGACAAGCAAACACCCATCTCTCAACCATCAACTGGGCTGTCGGCTCACCTGGGATTTACGTGCGTGTTAAGATCATCTTGATGGCTCTTGCCTTGGGGGAAGGGCACGATTCACAAGGGACCTCTCTCTGGCCAACAAAAGCAGAGGCACCACAGGCCTCTGCAGACATAATGAGAAGGGCAGTGCCATATTCCAGGGATACTTTGCCCACAATGAAGACCGGGAATGTCGGGAGCCAGGGTGCAATTCATGGTCACGATGGTAGTATCCACAGACCACAGCTGTATCATGTCCACAACAGACTCTGTTAGGAAATTCTGGTGCCAGGCGAGAGCAGGACACTGGAGGACACTCACCCAGGGCACAGAGTGGGACATCACACCTTGGCTCACTGATACATTGTTCTGGAATAATGGACACCCAGGCACAGTGATTCTCAAGGAAATGATTGGGCAGATTTAAAATCTGTTCTATACACCCAAAAAACTGAGCAAGAGGAAGAGGCCTTGACAGGATTTTTACTGTTCTCCTTTACTATATACAAAGAACAGCTGAATGGCGGCCTGTAAAGTTCAGATCCATTGCTTGTGCAAGTCACGTACAGACGGCAGGGAACCATGAGCTCTTGTCATAAGCTGTGACCTTCAGAAATGGCCAGCACCGAGCCGAGTCACCAGTCTCATTTCTAGCCTTGGTTACCTGGCCTGTTATCTTTTATTTTCCAAAGTCGTGCCAGTTACAGCCATTCATTTTTACTCTATGTGTGTGAGTGACACATGCACACATGCCCAAAGAGGCCTGAAGGCTGCTGGAGTTGTGGGCAGTCGTGAGCCACCTGACACAGGCACCAGGAAATGAGCTGGAGCCCTCTGGAGGAGCAAGTGCTGTTAACCACCGAGCAGTCTCTCCATCCTGAAGTCACTTGTTTGAGCTGCACCTCTGCTTTTGCCGGGCCCTCCTGGCTGCTATTTACACTGAGCACCCTCCTGGTCCTGTCTGAGCAGGTACGGACTTCCGGTGAACTTCCAGGCTGTGCTCCTGCAGCCCCATAAAAAGTCCGCCACCAAGCGCCTGAGAGAGGTGCTTAATTCTGTCTTCCGGCACTTGGACGAAGTTGCTGCAGCGAGCATACTGGATGTAGGTATCACGGGGGCTCACATGTCACTTTTTAGCAAGGGATACATGCGGTGGTGGGGCAACTGTACAGGACAGGACGTGTGGCCAAGACCCATCTTTGTCGTTGCTCCGCAGGCATCCGTGGAGATCCCTGGGCTGCAGCTCAGCAACCAGGACTATTTCCCCTACGTGTACTTCCATATCGACCTCAGCCTTCTTGACTAGGTGACCAGCCTGTTTGACTGCAGCCTCAGACAGACCTGCTCTAAGCCAGACACAGTCCTGCAGGATTCTGACTCAAGATACTCCCAGATGTTTGTTAGAGTGTATTTATTTTTTTAACTTACAATAAAGTGCTCAGTCCTCCGAGTCTTTTCTTGTGTCCTAATATAACTCCTGGCTTTCTCCTAGGCATTCTTCATAAAGTGAAATGCCTTTAACTTGGTAAACCACTAGGCTAATGTATTTGTGGGGTTTTTAATGGGTGATTAGTAAGAACATTGAAAACCTGAGCCTAACAGTCACCAGTGAAGCCAAATACAGACTTTGTGGCATGAAATGTGGTTCTCACTTGGTTATCAAGTTTTCCACACAGAACCATATTCTTGCAAAACATCTGTTTTTCCATTTAAAGACATTTCTACAGAGAGGTTGTGATGTGGGTCATGTGGGCTAGTTTTCAGGCTGAATATCAGACTCTGGTTTTATGACGTGCTACTAATTTCATATTTATCAGCATTGTCCAAAATATCATTTTATTCTTTAATGGAAAAAGCCATTAATATTCAAACAAAGGAATCACATTTTAAAAACCCTATACATAAGAAACAGCCTCCAAGAATATTCAAGCAGCAGTCAGGAGGGAAAAATGTTTCAACAGCCCCATTTTCTTCAAAGTATGCCAGAGAATACAATCCAATTCACTGCTACAATTCATAGAATTCTTCAGTGTTTTCTTGAGACGCCGAGGTTCACTGTTGCAGTGTTTCCTGTGAAAGGCCAGCGGCAGACAGCTGACAGGAAAACCTCATTACTGGAAAACTGCTCGCTCCCAAGGAAGAAATTTGAAGGCTGGGCCGCGGCCCTCCCTCACAACTCATCCTTCTCCAGGTCGTCAAGCTCCACATCACTGAGATCAATGTCATCCTCCACAGGAAGCTGGGACAGAAAGTGATGCTTAAGGCCTCAAATAGTCAAAGGTTTCAAAATAAAGGAAGCAAGTTTCAGAGGGATTCCAGACTATAGCCTGGCTTATTGTACTAATTATAACCATGATGGACAACCAGAGAGCCTGGACAAAATGAGGTCTCACAAATGTGGTCTAGGCTGGCCTTCCAATCCTCCCACCTCTGATTCCCACAGCTGACTACAGACGTGCACCAAACTTGGGCTTTCTGCTTGAATTTTTGAAGCAGGGCTTCATTCTTTAGCTCTGTCTAGTCTGGTCTCAAACTCATGGCAATTCACCTGCCTCAGCCTTTCGAGTGGCATTGTATGAAATTATAGACACAAAACCAAGTTCACCTGCCCTTTAAGTTGTGATTTCTTAAAAAGCAAAACAAAACAAACCTATTTATTTGTGTGAGGGTTTTGCCTGCAGGTATGTCTATGCACCATGAGCATGCAATGCCCAAGGGAGGCCAGAAGAGGGCACTGGACCCCCATGCCCTCTCCCTAGGTTTGAAGTTACATATGGTTGTAAGCCATCATTTGTGGGTGCTGGGAATTGAACTCTGGTCCTCTTGGAAAGTAGCCAGGGCTCTTTAACTGCTGAGCCACACCTCTCCAGCTCTAAACTGTGATTTTAGTAGAACATTCGTTCTCTGAAACTGAGAGCCAGCCAGGTGAGGAGCATGCCTCAGGCAGGACAGTAGGAGTTGGCCTTTGAGGCCTGACAGGGGACTTGGTTTCAGATATGTGTAAGCCGAGGAGGGAGCCCTCAGTGCCACTCACCTCACCATCCCTGCCGTCCCAGGGCTCCCTGGCAGTGATCGTAGGAAAGGAACCACCACCCACAGGTGCTGTGGAGCCACGCCCAAAAGACAGTTCCCTTGGGAGAAAACGCCAAACACACATTTAGATATGAGTAATGAATAAACAACGAATGAACAAACTGTCAAAATGAAATAGATCTTTGAAGAACAGTGGAATGCGGCCTACTGCACAGAAGACGCGGAGGCATTGCCCCTTGCTGTAGTATGCCTCCAGCAGGGCCTTTCCAGCCACTGATAACACCAGTCAGGAGTGAGACTTCTCAGGCCTCTCATTAAAGCCAGGCACTACTAAGTTTAAAACCCCAAACCATGAAGTGTTTTAAGTTAAGATGGAAATACATTATCCAAGTACATTCAGAGCAAAGGTGCCCACGACCCTTGTTTGCTAAGCCCGTGAGCTTGAAGAGCACCTTAATGGTGCTGGGAGAATGTTGGTACATAAAGAGGCTTACCAGTGAGACCTGAACATCTATCCATAAAAAATACTCATAATCTGGCTACTAGAAAACCAAAACCTAAAAATACTATCAGTGAGAATATAGTGTCTACAACCAAAACAGAATAGTACAAGATGACAGCAAGAGAGGGAGCCATGAACCGACACGACATCAACTGTCCCAGATAAAAACAAAACAAACCTCAAGCGAGATCATTCTGTATTCAGAAACTCCTCATCACCAGAGTCCTCAAGTGTAACTCATTAGCTTTATTACCAACGACAACAATGACAAGAGGAAAGTAGAAACTCATTTTGTCTTCTAATGGTCCTGTGGCTGTGGGTGGGTGGTTTTGATATAGGGTCTCATATAGCTCAGGCTGGTCCTTACTTCCTGATCCTCTGGCCTCTAGCAACTGCTGGAGCACAGGCACCACCATTTCCATTTGTGTTTTTGAAAGCTGTCTTGTATTTTTATTGGTGGCGCTGTTTTAAGACTACTGCAGCCCAAGCTGAACCTACTGCCTTCATCTCCCAAGTGTCCAGACAGCAGGCATACACCACTGTGACAGGCTAAAAGCTGTCTCTTACCATGGGTTCTTAGTTTTATACTATTCATTTTTTTTTTTTTTTGTAGAATAATTTAAAAAAGAAAACCATTAAAATAAAATTGCCAGGCAATGGTGGCACATGGCTTTAACCCCAGCACTCCAGTGGCAGAGGCAGGCAGATCGATGAGTTCGAGGCCAGCTTGGTCTACACAGCAAGTTCCAGGACAGCCAGGGCTACATGGAGAAACCCTGTCTCTAAAAACAATCATTACTTTGGGTTCCACTTATCACCATGCATATACTCTCCACGTTTTCCTGATGGTACAGGGATGTTCTTAAAGCAACATCCCTCCAGTGTGGCCCCAGGTCCATGCACTTAGAAGACAGTGTGTCTCTGCACAGTGCCAGCCCCAAACTTCTGTGTCAAGCAGGAAGTTCAGAACCCTCAAGCATCCTTTGTGCTAGGTATCTTTCCCACGGTGGCTGAGAAATGTACAAGAAAACAGGGACAGGGAAACACAACCTCCTTAATTCAGTACCTTGTATTTGCCCAAGACATGGAGTGAGTTTTAAGAAGAGGTGAACAGAAGGGCAGGATGAAGAGCTCTGCAAACTGGCTTTTGAATTAAGAACCCACCGTGTTTGCCCATAGCAGGAGGATCTTGGGCAGGCACTCTCATTTTCACATACAAATACAACTATATGCTAAGGGTGGGAATGGGCAAGACATGGCTGCCTCTGGCATGGTTAAGACCTCATGAGAATTAGGATGAGGCCGGGGATAATGTGCAATGACAAGTAAGGCAGGGAGAGCGGGAGAGTCTCACCATGCACAGGGACGGTCACTGCCACAGTAAAGAGTAATGACCTAAAGGCACAATTTTGTAACATCTAATTACTTTTATGTTTTACTTACTGCCTGACTTACATATAACAATATATACCAACAAAGCCCAGCAGACAAATAAATAACTACGAAAAAAATTACCTGAGAAACTCATTAATGCCTTGTTCACTGAAAGACCCTTTGAGAAGAGCAAATTTCATCTTGCGTGCATTGATGGCTGCCATGGCAGGATACCCAAACCCTCCGATCCCCAGTGCATTCTCCAGTTCATACTGGGCTCCAGCTTCTGTCCACAGCCACCTGGGAAAGCAGACTGGTTTTAGGGTGAGGATGCTTTTTGTACAAAAGTTACACCTTAGTCCTCAGAAAGGAGCATTCTATCTGTAGGATGGCTGCGTGCTCACAACCCACAAGACTGCCCACCGAGTCGCTTGGCATTTCCTTCCTGAGTCACTTCAACTTCGGTTCATGCATACCCTGGGTCTCAGGGCTGGTAAGCAACAAGCAGACAAACACGGGCACACACTACAGAATACCACGGCAGAGTCAGGAAGGTCTGCACCCCGTTCTCAGGTGAGATGCTGAAGTTCAGAACTTACCCCCACATTTTCTTCTTGTACTTGTCAGCCAGTTTCAGAAGAACTTCCAAGTAAGAGTTTCTGCCTGCAGCTCCTGATTTACAAACAAAATATTTTGAAGGTGAAATAACATCAGTTCACTTAGGAAGCGCTTTAAGCAGCTGGCACAGTGACAGCAATGAGAAAAGGCCTGTGCTCACCAGTGTCCAGGATGTGCGGCAGCACAGCCACGACACACAGCTGGTGCTCCTCACATGTCTTCTTGGCGATGTCTTCATTGATTATCTGCACAGACAACAAGGGCAGTCGGAAAGTTGTACAAAAACATGCAGAGATTCCTTCCACACATTGTCTCCTAGCAGACATGTCATCTAGAAGCCTCCAGAAGAAAGTGCCACCATTCATTCCTAAGCCACTAAGAAGCTGCCATGCCCTGGCACAGCCTGGCCTGCCATAGCTGTACAAACTGGTCTCGTGTCTGTGCGTAAGGTATTTACAGGGTGAGGCTCTTGGTTCTAATTCCCCAAAAGTATATGAAGATGAGACTGCTTTTCCTCTCAAGTGCTGTAGCAGTTCTTCCAGACGCAAACACCAGGGCGGGCCTCTGCCATGCCAGGCACTCCAACAGTCCAAGTGTCACTGAACTACTCTATTTTTACGAAGCTTAGGTGAACTTTTGCTCACAGTGTAAATATGCAGAAAGTTATGAAGAGCGGTCACTTAAAAAAGGGAGGCAATCACTGGGGCACAAGCCAATAATCTCAGCCCTTGTGGGGCAGAAGTAGGAAGATTGCTATGAATTCAAAGAGCCCATATGACCAAAGGGTTCATTGCTACAGTAGCTCCATCAGCTGGCTGGAAGCTTCCTCTCCACTGGGGGGGGAGAAGAACACTTTACCTCAAGCAGCTCTGGAGGTGGGGCATTATCAGAGAACAAATCAAGGGCCCTGGACACTATGTCAGATCTTGTCCGTCCACCATCATAGTCCACAGGAGACTCGCCTTTCTGAAATATCTTGATTGTAGGGAATCCTCTAATCTATCAAAGTACAACAACCAGAATATTTAATATGAAAACTTGACCTTAAGAAAACAAACAAACTAAAACCCCACAATCTTTAGTTACTAAAACCACTTCAGACATTTCACCATCACAAAAGTAGGCTCCAGGCCAGTATGGTCACACACCTGTAATTAGTTATCTGGGAGGCTGAAGCAAGGCCCACGAGTTGGAGGCCACTCTGGGCAATTTAATGAAACACTACTCAAAAACAAATCTGTAAGTGCAGGGAACACAGCTCAGCGGTAGCGCACTTGTCTAGCATTTATCGGTCATGGCTCACATCACCAAAAGCAGGGGGAAAATCCCAGCCTGAAGCACAGTCAGTCAAACCCTGTTCAGGCTCTGGGTATTTAGTAACACAATATGTGTACTCCAGAGCAAGAGGATCAACTTTCAAAAGCCAAACTAGTAAACCCCACAAGTCCTGAGTTCCAGACTTGACCGCAAGGGACACCATCTCTTCATCTACAAAATGGTCAAATATTTCCCTGCCTAAAAACAAAACAAAACAAAGCACCACCAACAAAAATCTCCTTGCCTACTTTGAAGAGAGTCAAGTAGCTGCAAACACACTCACCCCGTATCGGCTGGCCAGAACCTGGTTCACGGTGGCATCCACGGCTGCCAGCTTCACTTTCCCCTTCGTCTGCTCCTTCACCTCTGTGGCTGCAGCAGCCCATTCTGGCTCCAGGCTGTAGAAACAGTGAACTCACAGCACAGGTCCTTAAGCTGCTGTTCGGCCTAATCCCTGTTTTATGTCACACCTCAAACACATCTTGGGAGCTTCACCAAAGGGGTGATGCTAGCCTTTGCAACTGTCCCAAGTCTTCTATCACTACCCTAAATCTGGACACTAGCCCGTCCCTTGGTTGCATCTGGAGACAGCACCGCTCTTTCTAAGCGCGCTGGATGACTGACTACACTACTTGGTAGAAGGCACTTACTTCTTGCAGTGTCCACACCACGGAGCATAAAACTCAACCATCCAAACATCGTCACTGTCGAGGACAGTCTTATCAAAGGTGTCATCCGTCAGCTCTATCACGTCCTTTTTACTTGAACTATCTCCTCTGCCCTGTCACAGCAACATGACAAAAATGAACTGCACTCCTACTACAAGTACAGAAAAACAATCATCTTCAAGGTAATCAAGTTTTGATTTGTTCATTCGCAAATAAATGAAAATAATTATTCAATATGATTGAATTGGAAGCATTCCTTAATATGATTTTTCTTGCTAGCAATCTTACTTTTAAACAATTCCTGTTACATTTACACTGCATATAATCTGCACCCACTGTTTTTATGAGGAGCTCAAGTACCCTACAGAAAGGTTTAATGCAGACTCTGACAGAGCATTCTGTGTAAACACAACTGTTTCTCATTTTTGTATTTGAAGTCCAGATCACTCGGGATAGCTTAAACTAACTAGCGTTTCATCTCCCTCCCAAGGCTGTGTACACGACAAGCAAGGACTCTGCCATGAACCTAGACCTTTAGACCTGAATTTTCTTCAAACGTTTCACTCCACTGTGCTGCTGTCTGTCACCTGGCTAATGGCCTTGGCAGGGACAAGACAACAGTCACTGTGAATAGTGCTAAGACTATCTAAAGCTAGTTTACTGCCCTCGCTTCATTTTTATGACGCACGGGGATCGTAGTCAAGCTTCATATTTTGTACAAAAGCATGAAAACAGCCATCTCTTCCTGTGCCTGTTTATCCTGAGGAATTTCCCATGCGGTTCAGACTCACTGTTACAGATATAGGAAAAGCGCATGCAAAGGCAATCTTCAAAGTGAGTCTAAGACTCTGCTCTTAGAACTGTGAAGGTCATGAGGTCCCAGGCTTGCTGACCTTGGCAGGGAATTCCTTCACTCTCTGTAGTTCCAATTCTCCATTCCAGCCTAGGGCCAAGACACCTACCTACCTAGAAACCTCATTCTCAGACTGTGGCAAGATGTTCTGGGACTGACTGGGTATTGGCCTGTAACTGTTAAGGACGGCAATGAACAGGGTGGCTGGAAGTCCACCCCTCTGCGGTCAGTTAAACCACCCTTATATTTTAATAGAAACTTATCAATTTATAATATCAGGGGGAACTGGACAGGGATCATATACTCCTGGAATTCCAGAATTTGGGAGGTAGAGATAAATTTCAGGTCATCCTTAGCTACAGGTAGAATCCAAGGCTAGCCAAGGTTACTTGACACACACTCTAAGGAGACCATAAACATTCAGGCTAAAAGTAAGACACACTAAAATCGGCATCACACAGCCTTACCTGTTTTCCAGAACTGTATCCACCACTCCGCCCGCCCAGGCGATCCTTCACAAGCTGGCGCAAAGCACTGAGGGCAGCGTCGACGATGGCTTCCCCAGTTCTGCCACCTGCAGGACAGCAAAGCCCAGCAGTTAGGGCAGGCAGCTGGTGGTACTCAGCTCTCACATGCGCTCACAGCAGCCATTTCTATTTCTTTAGATTACTAATGTGAACAAGATCTTTCTGTTCACTGTCTGGAAAACTTATCTTCTAATAAGAAAACTTTCTGTTACCGAACAGACAACATCTAGTCAGTAAAACAGAAAAAAGTCCCCAAATACCGGAAAGAAAGGCAACAACTCCTTTTCTAAGACATGGAGAGTAGAGAGAAATGTGAAGAAACATGAGATGTCTCTGAAGCCAAGAGAAAACATTCAAGACCTCTCTTCTCTTTTGCCTCCAGTTCAGCTGTTAAGATCAATTCAAACCTCAGTAAAACTTAGTGAGCAGCCAGGGCTGCAGGACACACTAGCTCAAAAAACAAACCAAACCAGACAAGAGCACAGTAAGTGTGAAAGTCTACCCAAAACTACAGACACGAGACCCCAGGGCTATTAACTGGCCCAGAAGAGCGGGCCTAATAGCCAAGGTCTAATACTCTCCAACATCATGGAAGGAAACTCCACTGAGCCAACTTCACCTGTGGTTCTCAGTCTGTGGCTTACTTAACCACAGACCAAGAATATGGTTTGTCTTATCTCTTTCAAGTAAGACCACAGTCACTAACTTTCACTGTTCTATTTTACTGTTGGTTACTGTTATTTATCTCCGACTGCCTAGTTTATGAATTAAAGCACATATGGATAGGAAAAGTCGACACAGACTTTTTATGGCCAGGCATCTAACAGGAGTCTTAGACCAAGAGTACGGAGGGAGCACTCAGGAAGTGCTCAGGTAACTGGAGGGCCACACTTAGTATGAGCGCAGCCTTCCGCTCTTGCTGCAGACAGCTCTACATCTGAGCCAGTTTTCCTGTCCCACCCTTTGTACAGAACTCTTCTAAGGAAAGAGTGTTTCCCACTGTGCACCAGCGCTGACCAGATCTTCCCATAATAGACCACATGCATGCAAGTACTATCTAGCTTTGAGGCCACACCGCCCTCTGCAGTCCCTCAGCTCTGCTGTTTTGGTGCAAAAGCCGCCTGCCAGTCCGTAAAGCCACAGGTCCGGCTGTGTCCCAAACACCTTATTTAGGGCAGGTGAGATGGCTCAGCAGGTAAAGGTGCTTGGCCCCAAGTGGAAAAGTTAAACAACCCGCTTCAATTTCTGAGATCCACATGGAAGGTGAGAACCCCTGAAAGTGGTCCTAAGACCTTCATATGAACACTGAAGTCCACATGTGCCACCAACAAATGTAACAACCCCCCCCAAAACCCCACCTTACTGCAGCAGCAGAATGCTCTAAGCATTCTATTTTTGTCAAAGAGCAAAACTATAACCAATTATCATTCCAAATAAAAAGGCAGATGTTTGCTCCAGAAAGCAAAGCTCATCATTTCACAGTCCTTGCAGTTGGGAAATCTAGAAGAAATGATGCAGATGCACCCACGGCTTTATTTCCAAAGATTCTGACCCCCAAGACGGGAGATTGACCAAGCAGACCGGAACCTGTACCAGGCATGTGTCCCCTACCCTCTGTATGTACTATTTTAATTATACTCTGGTAGTCTGGAGATGGCCTCCCCACCCTACTTACAGAAAAAGAAGCAAGGCCAGGGCAGTAAGTGCTGTGTGGACCAGAAGCCTGAGCACAGAGAGGTGGGGCAGTTCTGGCAATCTGTGGTGTCTCAAGTTTACTTCAGACTTCACAGCCTTCAGCCCTCCCCAGTGTGTGTTTGACTGAGATTCTCCTACTCAGCCCACAGGCACCTTTGTTCACATAAGCAGCCATTAGCCAAATTTGCCTCACTGTAATGTAAAAATTATGCTCAACACTTTCATTAGGACCATGATCCCATGATCTGTCCCAATATAATAATTCTGATTAGACACTGTGTGTGCGCCGCTAATGGCTAATGACTAATGACTAACTAAAGCCCTTGCATGTGCTGAGCACAAGCTCACCACTCAGCCATGCGCTGAGTCCCTCCCCCACTCCCCATGCTTAGACAAGAGCAGTTCTGACTAAGATAACATCTATTCCCGGGAGTTTAGGGCCAGAATTCTCCTCTAGTTGCCTCAGTGACTCCTAACAAACACTCACAGTTTTTGCATCTCTAGAACAGGGAGAATTTGGGGTCCCTATTATCAACAGTTTATGACACTAATAACGGTTTCACAGTCAATGGATTTGCATATAAGGCATAGATTACTGGCAAAATATCATGCATGTTTTGCCAGACCCTAGTCTTACAGTAAGGAGAGGAAAACATATCTCCTCAATATTAAACAGCTGTAATGAAAAAGATGTGGGTCTCCATCCACCCTAATCTCTCTCTCTCTCTCTCTCTCTCTCTCTCTCACACACACACACACACACACACACACACACACACACACACACACCACACACACACCCCTTTACCTGGAGGAGGTACTAAGTGTTCAGTGCCGTTCCAGAAAGCAAGGTTAAGACAGTGCAAGAGCCAGGCTAACTCTTCCGGAAGGTACCACCTACAGGGGATGTAAGAGTCCTTACCCTGATAATCTTCTGGTTTGTTTTTGTTAGCTCCAAATATCTTGATGGTAGGAAATCCCTGGACACCGTACTGCCCTCCCAGGGACTGATGCTTATCTGCATCAACTGCGCCGACTTTGACAACATCCTGAGGGAATACAGATGGGTTACCTCCTATTCCTACTACTACAGCCCCATCAGACTCAAGTGCACTAATAAAGGGCTGAGTGAAGCTGAGTGAAGCTGGAAAGACCACTGCAGATTTCAGTTTGAAAATCAGGAGGAAATTTAAGTTGTATATGGATAAAGGGCAAGTCCAGCCAGGAGGGTCACTGTGGAGGAGAGCTGGACACCAAAGCCTTCATAACCAGCATGGCTGAATAATTATATAATTTAGTTTGGAAATAGACCAAATAAAACCAGACAACAGGAGAGGTAAAATCTGCCCCACACCCTTATTTGGTGACACAACCAGCACTCAGGACTTCATTAAGCAGGGTGAACCAAACCCAATCTGCAAAAACACACACAGGTGAATGAGACTGCCTCAGAGACTCACTTTCAAAGCAGTTGCTGCTTTCTTCCATTCTGGTGTTAACCTCTGGCAATGACCACACCTTCCAAAAGAGACAAAACACAAATAAGGTGACAGTTAAACCCTTTGACCGTCAGCTCATAAAATAGCCATAAGTGGTCTCTCCAGCAGGATGCCCTGGGGCTGGGAGCCTGCCAGGAAGACAAGGACCAAGAGGCCCAGTGATTGTACTTAGACCACTGGCTTTTCATCATCCTAATAAAAACTCCAGTAATCCATAAATAAATAAATAAATAAATTTATTAAATAAATTCATTAAATAAACTCCATCACTTGCTTACTATTTGGACTAGACCTGTTAGAACACAAGAGACTAAGCCTTGTTTTGCAAGCACTAATACTGTAAAACACCATAAAGAACCCACCATAAGTCAGCAGGGCGGAGCACACCTGTCATGCCAGCAACTGAGTGGCAGAGGCAGGAGAACCACTTTAAGGCCAGCCTGGTCTACACAGTGAGTTTCAGTACAGCTAAAATAGCATGGTAATATCCTCTCTCAAAATACCAAATCCCAAACAAAACCTGCTATGAAATATAACAAAGCTTACTACATGATAGAGAGAGAAACCCATTTCTACAGTGCAATAAGGTCATGGTTAACCACATCGTTCATTCTCACTGTCCATTGTATGCAGACAGCATAGTTTACCTGCAGGCAACATGGTGTATATTTTTCAAAGGTTTTGCTAGTTAAGTCTTTTCTATCTGGGTCTCTATAGACCCAATCTTCTCATTCACAAAGGATGCCACTGGCTCTGTGTATAACCGAGGACAGGCCTTGGCTATTTGCACTCTATAAATGCTAACAGAGACTGGCAAATGCCTTGATTCCAATGCTAGCCTGCCTGTGCCCACTGCTTTCCTGAAGTGAGCCACCGCCCCACTGTGCTGCCACACAGATACCATGTGATTAATAATACTCTAGAGGGACCTGAAAGTCCCAACATTTTAAGCAAGGTTATTTCTGGGCAATGCCTTGAATTGGTGCTTCGACATATTTACATATGCTTTGTTGCTTAGGTGAGTCCAGAAGTCAAACTTTCACAAGGCTTAGGTTTCAGAGTCTCTAAGAAGGGAGGGCTCAAACTGTTAGAGCACATGGCCTTTCAGTATGATGTCACGCGATATGCGCAGACCACAGTACCACATGAAAACGAATGTTTTTGCTAAGCTGTGATAGAAACTTAGGAGTTCTTCCCAGTATAAATGTTAACATCCCACAGTTAATGACATTACTACTTAAGAGCTGCCATGAATAAAAACCACAGCTATTATCATTGCAAATGATCATTACAATTGCTGCAGACATTCTAATATCATTAGACTGGCTGATGCTTCGTCCTATCTACTACTTTAGAAAAGAAGCACAAGCTGAGTGTCCATAATCCTGCAGCTCAGGGCCCAGTGTGAGCAAAGCCCTGCGAAAAGTAAAAATAAGCAAAGCACCCAAACATGAAGCCTTTTGAGCACTATGTGACACCAGCTCTGGGTTTTTGAATTTTAGATTAGGGATGTCCAATGGGTAAAATTTCAAAATCTGAAAAACTCCAAACACCTCTGGCCCCAAGCATTCTGGACAGGAGACTAATGGCCCTCCATCCTTTTATTCTTTCTTGAGTCTCTCACAGTCCAGAGGTTGACGCTGAACTTCTGAACCCCTTGCCTAAACCTCCCAAGTGTTTTAATTTTTCCTTTTTAAGAAAGGTCGCCTGGAACGACTCTCAATCCTCCTGCCTCAGCTTCTGGAGTGCTAGAACTAGTGGGACATGCAGTTCTGCCTGAGTTTGTATGCCCTACTCAACCTCTACAGCCTTTACTCCACGAAAGAATCCAAGGTTATCACTGGGCTGTTAGAATCCAATCGTAGAAAGGCTTGGATTGTTCTCATTAGACGTTCCTTACTCAGAACACTATGCATGAAACTGCCAGTATAATCGACCTACACCCAGAACCTGCCTTGACAATCACACCACCTGGTAAAGTTTCACAGGGAAGTGTTTTCTTGCACTGTAGCTCTCAGAAACAAATCAACTATCCACAACACAAGTGATAAGAAGCTCAATATGCAAAAAACACCTCACAGAGCCCCTGAATAACTTAACAGCCTGTACAAGTACTATTTGCCGGTATTAATGCAAATAGGCCAACCACAGAAACCAGAAACTAGACTGAAAAACATAAGTACCAGCCCGGTGTGGTGGCAAACACCTGTAATCCCAGGACTCAGGAGGCAGAGGATCTTTGTGAGTTCAAGGCCAGCCTGGTCTACAAGACAAGTCTAGGACAGCCAAGGCCATAGAGACAAACCCTGTTAAAGAAGAGGGGGAGGAAGTACCTTTAGAAGATACCCAAGGCATTAAAAAGAGCCAGTTTTGCCATGTGCTGGCGTAAATGTTTAACATTGCACATCCACTCGCTACACTGACCCTTAACTAATCTTCTACTTCTTAGAAGTAGCACTAAATTTCTAGAGCCATGTCAGAATCCTCCAAAGAACCTTCACCAAACACATCCTAAAATGCACTCACTCAAGACTTCAGAGTTTGACGGTAAGGATTTCATGTGAGCCCAGCTCTGTGGGAGGCTAAGGCAAAGGAACAAGTTCAAGACTTTCCTGAGATCCGGGTGTGAGCTAGGGCAACCTGCCTTAAAATTACACAAAATTAATGTCATACCCTGTGGTGGTTCAACTGAAATCCACTCCACTCCCTCCAGGCCCCCACTGCAAGTTTCGGGCACTACAGCACTCAGTCACCAGTGGGTGGCACTGTTTGGACAGGCTTAGGAGATGCAGCCTTGCTTGAGGGATTTATCACTGGGGTAGGCTTTGGGAGTTTAGACTCATCCCATTTTGGCTGGCTCTCTCTGATGCTCCAGCACCATGCCCTTTGTCTGCTTCCTCTTCTCCACCACTGTGGCCTCTAACTTTCTGGAACTCTTAAGCCCAAACAAACTCTTCTTCTAAAAGCTGCTTGGTCATGGTGTTTTACCACAGCAATAGAAAGTAACTAAGAATATCCCTTCCTAGAGCTTACAAGTTACTGTTCACTTCAGAGCCTAACCCTATGTGTTAGCTCATTTTCAGAGGCATGCAGTTTGTAGAGCTAGCTTCTCTCGTGGGATGTAAAGATGCTGCTTTACATCCATAATCCTGTATGCATGTTACATAGTTTCTCCTCATGTATCCCTGCTCTCCTTTTCATCAATTGCTCTAACTAGTACTGAGTGCAACACTTGATTCTGTGTGTGTTACGTGTTACGGAAGCCCCAGGTCTCAGACCTTCCACCACCTGGGTCCCGAGGATTGAACCTGGGCCATCAAACATGGTGGGGCAAGAACCTTTACCCAGACATCTTGCCAGACCACCCCGAAACTCATCAATCTGCATGACTTTCAAGAGATCTGACATGTGCAGTCCAGTCCTCTTTTCTATACTTCTACTACTATTTGGATATTGTGGAACAGACCTGTAATCTCAGTTCTCAGGAGGCTGAGGCAAGAGCATGTAAGTTCTAGGCTAGTCTGGGCTACACTGTGGGGTTCCAGACCAACCTAGACCACACAGGACACCTGCACTCACGTGCACATACTCACACACATTTAAAAGTTGTCAGGCCTAGCCAGGTGTGGTGGTGCACGCCTGTAACGCTCAGCTCTCAGGGATTACACACAGGTGGATCTCCGTGAGTCCAGGCCAGCCCAGGCTACACAGACAAACCCTGTCCTGAAAAACAAATAAATAAAATAAAATAATATATAAAAAAAGTCCTGTCTGGAAAAGTTGGCAGGCCTGGTGGTGCACACCATTAATCCCAGCACTCGGCAGAGGCAAATTCCAAGGCAAGCCTGGTCTACAAAGAGGTTCGGGTCAGCCAGAGCTAGTGACCCTGTCTCAAACAAAACAAAATAAATAAATCTGTAAAAACCATAACTATTTATAATACATACCATGGAGCATAGAATTCTACAAGCCACAGACCATTACTCTGAATAACTTCTCTATTGAAATTTGATGGTGTTAACTCAATGACATCATCAGTAGAAGAATACAGACCGCTGACTGCCAAAAAGAAGGTACAGCTCACCAGACCTGGACAAATGACAAAAACAAAGCAGTGATAGCACAGTTCACAGCATGAAGATCTTTCCCAACCCAAACCCCTACAGAAGAGGATGGCCAGAGCTGGCTCCTGCTCTTGCAGCCTTCCTGTTGTAGTGCTGAGCATGAAGGGCATGTATCACTCAAAACCATGGCAGTTGCTGCTTCCAAGTCCAAGTGAAATCACTTGGTTCTTCACACAAAATCATCCTCATTTTGTAAGTAAGCAGACACAAAAGCAAAGGCCCATGTATAGTCAATGCAAATACACGAAGTGACAGAATGGCTCTCTAACTCCTGTTCCTAAGTTATTGATTTGGTATGTCTTGGCAAACAGATAAATTATTCAAGGACACTGCATCTGATGGAATCCATTATTATTATTTTTTTTAAGATGTGAAAGTAGGAGAGATGGTTCAGCAAATGAGAACACGTGCTATGCAAGCATGAGGATTCACGTACCCTTGGTGTCCACATAAAGAGCTAAGCATGGGTTTACATGCCTATATAACACCACTGTGGGGGCGGGGAAGGACAGAGGTAGGAGGATCCTGAAAGCTTGCTGGCCAACCGGACTAGACGAAAGGTAGGCTCTTAGTTTAGCTAGAGACCCTCTCTCAAGAGAATAAGGTTACAGTGGTAGTGGAAGACACTCAACATGCCCCTTTGACCTCTGCGGGCACAGGCACAGGTGTATACACCTCTACACTCAAGAGAATGTGCCACATATGTCCACATCACACACAAATACAAAGACATAATGGAAGGGAACTATGGAGAAAAAGGAATGGGACCAGAGGGTGAGGGAACAAGAGAGGACAATGGGGTGTGTGTGTTGTGAATATGGTCAAAGAACATTATGCACATGTACAAAAATGTCACAAGGAACCCTGCTCTTCTGCACGGTTAACATCTGCTATGAAAAATGTCTAAGAGGTCCACTGCATTTGAAATACAGATATGGCCAATACTGTGGGACTGTATGAAATAAAAGTGGTCTTTACGTAAGAGTGATGTCACATAAACCAAGAAGTATGGAATGAGCAACAGCTAACATTCGAGCAGAGGCAGAGCAGGGAGGGCTGAAGCTGCTGCTGCATTTAATGACAACGTGGTCTGTGAGCACTTGGGCTAAAGATAGTGAAAATAACCAGCAGCCAGTGGGTAGAAGCTCGAGGGAGCGGCAGGAATGAATCTAGAGAACACAGACAACTCATACTGGCTCCAAAGACTTGTAGAAAAATAGAAACAAGTTTTGTTAATATTTTTATACTGATTATGTGTTAAAATCATGATGAGTTAAGTACAGTGTGGCTTAATGACAAGATGCATGCTAAAAAGCACATGTGTAGACCATCTCACCATTGTGCCAAGGCCACAAATAGTGTCTGCTAGCACGTCATTCGGGAATATGGTCCAATGGGGCAGTCACCATAAATGTAGTCATTATGTAAAATTAGCTCAAGGCACCACTACCTGTTCTGCTTCGGCTTTTTCTCTGCGGCTCCTAGAAAACTTAGAATGATATTACATGCACAGTTTGCGCTGTATCTATTGGATGGTGCTACTCACGGAAGGCACAAAATAACAGAGCTTGCCTCCAGCGTTCTGGGATTAAAGACATGCTCTACCATGTCCGGCAAGTTCTACCAATTTACAAGAAGTTTATCTTGTTTATGAAGCTGTTATGAATTCACACTTCCTCAATACACTGAGTCTTATGAAAAATTCAAGGCTGGAAAAAAAATCACAAGTTATAGATACTTTTTACCGCCAACACAACACTAGAACCTTGCTGCAAACTACTCCTGACTGATAATGTCATCCTAACTTTTAAGATGTTTAGGTCCTCCAGCTGTTACAGCCTTCACTGGGTAGCCCTCTGTAAGGGGAGCTTGGGAGAACCAGGCAAAGCTTAAAGACAAAAGTCTTAGCACATTGGCTAGGTAAACAAATCATCCACCCATCCCTGTGGATGCCTGCACCCTGCCCCGATGGCCAAGAGAACGGGAGACACCCAATTCTGCCTCCAACCAATGGCTACCAACCGAAGGCTCCAAGACAATCTAACGGGGTTAGGAAGAATCAAACACACTGTCCCTTGCCCCAGTGATTTGCTTCGGCAGAGTAGGTCAATGCTGACCCATCAAGTTCCGCTTCTAAAATTCACACTGGCCACTCCACACGGCGATAACGAGCACCACCGGGAAACAGAACTCCCGGGGTCTACAATCTATGTGTGCAGATGGCTTTGCCATCTGTGGCTTCCCATTCAATCCCTGTAGCAGCTAAGGGTGTTATAAACTCACACCAGTAACGTTTCTTCCTTGCACCCGCCAGCAGCAGGGTAGCCAAAATAGGATGACTACCTGATTAAAATAATGAGTTACTTGATAAAAATCACTCTTTCACAGGCACTCGTGGGAAAACCAAAGATTAAATCTTTCCCTTTCATCTGCTCTCTACAGTAATCCAGCAAGTAGTAACCTTTTTTCTTGCTTACTCTCTTTAAACACGTACTACCGCTCATGGGGTAAACACGTTTGAAAAAACAAAACAAAACACTGGCAGAGAGGTGAGAAAATGTGCTCCCGGTCTCAGCTAATCTACGGCGGGGGAAGGGAGTACAGAGACCCACCGTCCTCCCCTACTTTCCAGCCAGAATCTAGCCTGCGTTAACTAATATCAGAGTCTACAGGGCCATGAATAGGCCAGCTGGGGAAGGAGGGGACCCCCCAAATCATCCACGGACTCGCTAAACATCATTCCCGGGCACCGGGGTGGACGTTCAATGGGACTGAAGTGCTCAGGCGCTGTGAGGCCTCCCTCGGAGGGCACTGCCCACTCCTAAGCACTTTAGGGACCGGTCTCTGCTACCTGGGCCGGACCGGCGGTGGATCTCACTCGAGGGGAGCAGAGGCTCCGAGTGCCCGACTCCCCGGGGCCTCCTGCAGAAAGAAGGCCCGGCCCGGCCCCTCCTGCCCAGCTCGCCGCGAAGTCCCAGGCTGGCTCGGCACCCCGCTCCTCCACTCGCATCTGCTCCACGCCCCGGGGCCCTCAGGCTGCCTCAGCCCGGCTTCCCACCACAGGCCCGCGCTTACCGAGCCCTAGGCGAGCCATGCCGAGCGCCCGCATTCTGTCCGCGCCGCCGCCGCCGCCTGGCTCTGCCGCGCCCACGGCCCGCCCTCGGCTTCTAGCGGGCGGTGCGCCGGCGTGCGGGGGCGGGCCGGAAGGGCTCGCCGCGCCGTGGCCGTCGCTCATTGGTCTCTGTGAACTTCGCTCACGTGCATTGCCAATGGTAAGCGGCCGGGTAGAGGTTACCGGTTTGGGTTTCTTTCCGTGGGGGCGGGGGCGAGCGGTGGAGCGGAGCGGAGCGGGGCGGGGCCGGGATGGGCGGGGAATGAAGGGGCGGGACCAGAGGAGGTCTGGCCCTGAGGAGCGCCCTCGTTCCCCTAACTTTCCCTGGGCAAACTTCATTTCTCCCAGTCCCTCATACTCTGTCCTCTTTGCGTCTCTCGTGGCCCCTTGTAGCCCTCACTCCTTGACCTATTTCTTTATGCTGGGAGAACAGTCCCAGATTCTCAGGGTGTTTGCGACTTTATTAAATGACGTTTATTGCTTTGTACGTGGATTCAGTATTCAGTGAAAACCATTGATTTGCCAAACTTATTCTGTATAGAGCGTCAAATATCACACTTAGTCTGTATATAGCATCAAATGTCACACTGGCAGGGTTCATGTTCGTTCTTGGCTCTAGGAGTGAGGACTAAAATTCCAAATTGCAGTGTTTCCAAAGGTGTTTGAAGGTTAACAGAGTAAGACATACTTAAAAAAATAATGGTTAAGGATGCCCCTCTCTGATGGTAGAAGGCTTGCCTATCACGCATAAAGCCCTGGGTTGGATCCCTGGCACCACAGAAACACAGCATGGTGACTGTGCTGGCTAGTTTTAAGGCAACGTAATTCAAGCTAGAGTTATCTGAAAGGAGGGAATCTCAATTGAGAAAAAAAAATGCCTCTTTAAGATTCAACAGTAGGGCATTTTCTTTCTCTCTCTCTCTCTCTGTCGGTTTTTCGAGAAAAGGTTTCTCTGTGTGTAGCCCTGGCTGTACCGGAACTCACACTGTAGACCAGGCTGGCCCGGAACTCTGAGACCGCCCGTCTCTGCCTCCCGAGTGCTTGGGTTAAAGGCGTGCAACATCATGGACCTTTTCTCAATTAGTGATTGATGGCAGAGGGCCCAGCCCATTGCTGGTAGGGCCACCACCCTTGGGCTGATGGTCCTGGGTGCTGTAAGAAAGCAAGCAGAGAAAGTCCTGTAAGCCACATCCTTCCCAGGCCTGTCTGCATCAGCAACTGCCTACAGGTTCTTGCCATGTTTGAGTTCTTGACCTGACTTCCTTGAATAATGGGCATGGAGGAATAAGCCGAATAAACCCTCTCCTCCCCAAGTTGCTTTGGCCATGGTGTTTTATCACAGCAAGGATGACCCTGGCTAAGACAGTGACACACCTGTGACCACAGCACTAAAGAAGAGGAAGCAGGAGAATCAGGGTTTCAAGGCCAGCTCTGGCGACATGGTGAGTTTGTGGCCAACCTGGGTTACATGAGATGCTGTCTGATGTTTTCCTTTTTTTTTTTTTTTTTTTTTTTTTTTTTTTTTTTTTTTGTGGGTGGGTGGGATTGAAACAGTGTTTCCCTGTAGCCTGGACTCGCTTTGTAGACCAGGCTGGCCTCAAACTCACAGGGAGCCGCCTGCCTCTGCCTCCCTAAGTGCTGGGATCACAGGTGTGCGCCGCCACCACGCAGCACTTCTGTCTAAAATCTGCTAAAAATTTTAGTAATTATTATCTTTACCTCTGATTCCCCCTCCGGTGTTTGGAGTGGCTGTGAACACTCTTTTTGTTGTTCTGGGCGTTTGTTGTTGTTAATTTGTAGCTTCTCTGTAGAATTGAGGACCCAAAACAACCCTGACCCTGGCCAGAGCTTTCATGGGCAAAAGGCTCCGGGAGAGGTGGTAGCTGGTTGTGGGGTGTAGCCTTGGACGTGTCTCTGGAGAAATTGGCAGGCAAACTAGGCTCCAAGGAGCACCCAACCCCCAGAAACCATGAAGTTCCCTGGAACCTTGGTTAGTTCCAGATTTGCAGGAAGGAGCTTGGAGAGTGCCACCAGCGATCAGAGAGCTATGTGGGGAGTCAGAACAGAGGCGTGAGGTCTCTGGAGAAACATAGTTGGGCCAAGGTGTTCTCCTGGAAGGGCCTGAAGTGAAATGCTACTTGTTTTATACAAGGCCTGCCTGGGCCTCATGTGTTTCTTCTTAATATGCAACTGTGGAGAATTACAGTGAGACCCTTTTTCCTTGAAGCCTAAGCACTAGGAATGAAATCCATTTTCCTTCCAGATGTAGGAATTTAATTCTGACCACCTGCAGGGAGTCCCCTCATTTCTCATGCCTTAACCTAGTCTCTTCCTCACATAGACCCCCAATTCATGGTTTCCACAACATAACACTAAGGGGTATGTATCCTGAAGCTACTAGCTGATCTGACCTCTCCAGGCCTGCTGTGTGAACACCACAGTCTTACTCAAAGGTGTTTGTGGCAATATTTCCCATGCATTTCATGACCCAGGAGGCTCCCCACCCAATCTACCTCAAAGTGGGATGAAGGCGGAACTCCCACGAGGCAGACTGGACATGAAGACAGGCTTGCAAGGGTGTGCCAGGGTAAGTAGCACCCATTCCCTTTCATCAAAAGCAAAGCATATATTAACAGTCCATGCTGGTTAGTCTTTGTCAACTAGACACAAGCCTTCCCCCGGCAGGTGGTCCTAGCAGTTGTGTGAGAAAGGTAACTAAACATGAGCCGGGGAGCAAGCCAGAAGGCAGGATACATGTGTGATCTCTGCCTCAGTTCCAGCTTCCTGGCTTTGTGTCTCTCCATGTTGGACCGTCCCTGGTAACCCAAATTAACCTTTTCCTTTTCCAGTTGCTTTTGGTCATGTTTCATCATAGCAGCAAGAACAAAAACAAACACATAAACAGCAACAGAACAAAAAACAAAACTAAGACACAGCTTAACGGTGCCAGGTACTGTTGGAGGCACAGCCACTGGCCAGGGAGCACACAGCCTATACAGAGGCCAAGGAGACAAAGGCACATTATATCGCTGTGTTCAGTTCTGATTCAGTGAAGACCCTGGTACCACGAAACCCAGAATTAATCTCTTTTTTATTTGCTTCTTTACTGTGGTAAAACGTACAGACAATTTGCTGCTTTGGTTTCTTTGTTTTTGTTTTTTTCCCCCACAGTGATGAGGATCAGACCCAAGCTTCACATATGCTAGCAAGGACTCTGCCTTGGGGCTGAATCCCCAGCTCCCACTCACAGCGTCACGCAGCCATCATCAGTATCCACACCCAGATTTCGCATTCCTCATTCCCCCTCATCATCCTACTTTCCATCTTTTAAAATTTGCCCAAGGTAAGTGCTTCTTACAAGCTGGATTGATTCTGTCCTTTTACAGTCTAGTCTATTCACTACACACAACATGGCATATGCCATTCAAGTTTTCAGAGTCTCTCCATATTGTAGTGTGTGTTAGAATTTTACTCCTTCCTAAGGCTGAATGATTTTCCATTGCAGAAATGGGCCGTGTTTTTTTTTTTTTTTTTTTTTTTTTACCCATTTCTCTGTTGATAGACATCTGGGGGCCATCCAGTGATAATAGTGCTGAGTACTGATGGCCAAAGATCTTCAGTTCTTTGGGAATATAACTAGGAGTGCAGCTGCCCGCTCCTGTGGTAATTCTGTGATTTACATTAGAGACATTTTTACCACACTTTTCATAGGAGTGGCTACACTTGATACTCCCGCTGGCAATGTGTGATTTCTACCCTGTTTGGTCACATCAACGTGAATACAAGCTAGGTGTGTGGCCTCTAAGCCGACTGAAAGCCCATGTGTGGCTGGGCTGTGGGTGTTGTCCTTCCTCACTGCCATGAGACTGACAGTACTCCGACAGGGAATAATCCATCCCCAGGTCCCCTGGTGCCCTCTGGAGCAGGGCGGAAGCTGGCTTGTGAGAGACACACTGCATGGGAGAGAAAGAGCCTGTCACTGGACTAAGCCACCAACATTCAGCTCTGCACTTACTGTAGCAAACTCCAGTCCACCCTGACTTGTTACATCTGAGCTCTGTGGCTCTGGGATACTAGATGCGTTTTCTTCCCATTCTTGAATATGAAAGAGACGTGATCATTCCTTTCCACTAGAATTGATTCTTTTGCTCTGCACAGATTTCATGAGTGCCTATTGGGCACCACAACTGTGCCCGTCATGATGTGCTTGGCCTCATGGACCTCACAAATAAGACAAATGAAGATGTGGCTCAGTTGGTGGAGTGCTTTCCTCACATGCTAAGACGTCCTGGATTTGATTTCCAGCATATAAATAGGCATAGGACATTTGAAAGCCATTTTCTAAAATGGATATTCATTTATGGATATTGGTTGATAAATAATGATGTCTATAGTACTGTTTGTTGTCTGGGTTGGCCGCAGTCAGAGACTTAATCCTTTGTAAACTCTAGTAAAGATTTTTGTAAGGATCTCATTCTTTCCTCATGTGATACTTTCTGTACTGTTCAATAAAGACAGAGAGTGAACGCATTCATGCCTGCACTCAATTTATTTTCTTTACTTATACAGTTTAGAATTCCCTGTATAGGGAATGACACCACCCAAAAGAGGCATGTTTTCCTACCTCAAGCTAATTCCCCCAGACATGTCCACAGGCCACCACACATTCAGACAACACCTCACTGAGACCCTCTTCCCAGGTGATTCTAGATTGTGTCAGCTTGAGAGTTTTCCCATCACAGAGGGAGACAAGAAGGAATTCATGGGTAAGAGGTTTCTGTTGTATTTGTAGTCAAAGCTTTCTTTCATATTTCAACTTTCAGATTCAAAGACTTTGTTTAAGAAGAGCCACATCATTCTAGATTATAGCCAATTGTTAGTAGAAAATTTAGATTTCTTTCGTGTTTCCAAAAGCATCTAGATCCATAGCTGTTGTGGATCAGTCAATGTGTCTCTGTGATCCAGCCACTTCTGTCACAATTTAACGCAAGCCTTCTGCTCTGATAGTCACTTATCAATGGCCCCAGGCTGAGGATTTGC